ATCACTCCGCAGGGTGCATTGGCTACGCCATAATCCCTTTTCATCTCTTCTCCTCCCAGGACTTTGGACACGCATGCACATGCACCACCAGTGTGAGCCTCAAGCCTCCAGGTTCAGGACTTGAACTGCTGTCAGCCATGTGGGATTCTAGCACCTTAACTACTATGCTACCTGCTGGTTTAGGCACTGGATTCCCACAAAGCCAACTGCTTGGTTCAAGTCCCAGACCTGGCAGCTGGAAAATCATGCCAGGCACATGTGCGTGCACGCCCAAAATCCTGAGAGGAGAATGGAGAAGGGATTGCAGCATGGCCATCCCAAAGAGGGAGTGATTTCTCATTTTCCTGCTCGCTCTCTCTCTCTCTCTCTCTCTCTCTCTCTCTCTCTCCAGGGATTGCACACACCCTGTGGCAAAAATTTTTTTAAATGTTTAAAAAGGAAAAAGGAGAATAAACTGCTCAAACAGGTTCCAACTCCAAAAGGTGTGACTGAATCGAGTTCACAACGGAGCCGTCCTCTCCAGTACTGAGAAAAGGAACCCTATATCCGTTGACACTGCGTACCAGGCAGGACTGTGGCAGTACGTGAACCAGACATGCTTCCTGCTCTCAGAGTTCGAACTTCCAGCAGAGGCAAGACAGACATCAAATAATCCTACAAACCAATGTCAAAACAGCTTTAACAACCGCTAAAAGAAAATCTGAGGGCCAGCATCATGGCCTCAGGGTTAGGGCAGCTCGATCTACATAAAAGATGGTGAGATTCAAGTTTGAGAAACATGCCAGCACATGTGCACATGTGTGCCCAAAATCCACAAAAAAAGGGCATGACCATTCCCCATGGGGAGTGTTTCTCCTCTCTCTCTGTCTCCCTCTGGCAAGTGTACCCACCTTCTGGTAAAAATGAAGAAAGTTTAAATTGTGCCATGAGACTAGAAAAGGGAGAGAGAATCTAGCCAGGTAGATCAAGGAAGGCTTGCCCAATGAAGTGACGTCTGCTCTAAAAATGAGTGGTCAAATGAGTCCCTGTGAACCTGTAACTAACAGAGAAAGGACATTCTAGGTGACAGCATGTGCAAAGGCCCTGGGGTAGGAGAGAGGTATGGTCACTATGTGGGATTGAGAAAATGAGAAGAGGTTAGCAGGGAGAGGGAGGAGAGCAAAGACAAACTCGGGGGGCGGGGGGAGAGGCTGGACAGGTAGGGAGGAGATTCTTCAGGGCCCAGTAAACCAAATCATCTTGACGGAGAAAAACACTGAAGAATCTAAAACAGAAATGTGTCACAGTCGGACTTAACTTTGTAAAAAAGAATTGTTTATTCCATTTTAGTTATTATCATTATTATTATTTAATTTGACTAAAGAGAGACAGAGAAAAGAACAGGAAAGAAAGCAAGCTGCCAGGTCTAGGACTTGAACTGCAGTCCGCCACATGAGAGTCCTGCCCCTTCACCATCACACCATACCTGCTGCCTCCCAGATTTAAATTTTAAAGCACTAAACAGCCAGCCAGGTGGTATGAAGGGATTCAGGTGTGGTCATCCCCTCTGGGAGGTGACGTTTCTGCCCCCCTCCACCCCCTACCCCCGTCTCTTTCGGCAACTCACAAGACCTATAGCGAATTTAAAAAGAAAAGAAAAAGAGAAAGCACTACATTAAACTGTCTTCCCAGTGATACGCCTTGGCCAGTGGACTACACTTAATTCCAGGGACTTCAGTTGGTTTCAAGAGCCAACAGTGAGTGCAGCCACCAAAGCAATCAACACAATCACCAGAGCCTAAGTCTAAGAGCAAGCCAGAGCAGTAAAAGGCAGAGTCGCAGGGACTGGTTAGATTCTAGCCTGTCACTACGGTGAAACCCTCAGTAAGCTAGTTAACCAGAGTCTCGCTACTCTTATATTTCAGAATTTAAAAAAGAAGGTAGTAGGGGGTGCAGGGGGTGGTATGGTGGTTAGGGTGTTGGACTCTCACATGGCGCACTGGTGGAGGGAGAGGCTGGACAGGTAGGGAGGAGATTCTTCAGGGCCCAGTAAACCAAATCATCTTGACGGAGAAAAACACTGAAGAATCTAAAACAGAAATGTGTCACAGTCGGACTTAACTTTGTAAAAAAGAATTGTTTATTCCATTTTAGTTATTATCATTATTATTATTTAATTTGACTAAAGAGAGACAGAGAAAAGAACAGGAAAGAAAGCAAGCTGCCAGGTCTAGGACTTGAACTGCAGTCCGCCACATGAGAGTCCTGCCCCTTCACCATCACTCCATACCTGCTGCCTCCCAGATTTAAATTTTAAAGCACTAAACAGCCAGGCAGGTGGTATGAAGGGATTCAGGTGTGGTCATCCCCTCTGGGAGGTGACGTTTCTGCCCCCCTCCACCCCCTACCCCCGTCTCTTTCGGCAACTCACAAGACCTATAGCGAATTTAAAAAGAAAAGAAAAAGAGAAAGCACTACATTAAACTGTCTTCCCAGTGATACGCCTTGGCCAGTGGACTACACTTAATTCCAGGGACTTCAGTTGGTTTCAAGAGCCAACAGTGAGTGCAGCCACCAAAGCAATCAACACAATCACCAGAGCCTAAGTCTAAGAGCAAGCCAGAGCAGTAAAAGGCAGAGTCGCAGGGACTGGTTAGATTCTAGCCTGTCACTACGGTGAAACCCTCAGTAAGCTAGTTAACCAGAGTCTCGCTACTCTTATATTTCAGAATTTAAAAAAGAAGGTAGTAGGGGGTGCAGGGGGTGGTATGGTGGTTAGGGTGTTGGACTCTCACATGGCGCACTGGGGTTCAGGTCCTGGACCTGGCAGTTTGCTCTGTCACCTTCCCCTTCTCGCTCTCTCTGGTCAAATTTTTAAAAATAAATAACAAATAAAATTAAAATCAAGAATTTTTTTAAAAATATTTATTTAATTTTATTTATTCACTCATTTAATTTAATTTGACCAGAGAGAGACACAGAGGAGGAAAGAGAGAGAGGGAAAGTGAGAAAGGAAGCCACCGAGGCCACCAGTTCCGGTCCTCGAACCGTGGCTGGCCATGTGGGAGCGTCCACCACCTTAACCACCATGCCACCTGCTGGTCCCAATAATTCTTTTTTAAAAAAATAGTTACTGTGAAGTAACTTGCAGAGTGTCTGCTGGTACTCGAGTCCATTCTCTCACATCTTCCTTCCACATCTCTGCCTTCTCGCATCACAACTTAAACACATCTGTTTCAGACAATGCATTTTTAAAAAGGAATTGTTTAATTTTATTTATCATTATTATTATTTTAATGTGGACAGGGAGACACATACACAGAGAAGGAAAGTGAGAAAGCAAGCTGCCAGGTCTGGGACTCAAACTGTGGTCAGTCATGTGGGAATCCAGCACACCCCAACCACTATGCCACCTGCCATACCCTCTGACAATGAATTTTAAGGGGTACACCCAAACAAACAAATCAGTTAAGAAAGAGTAAGTCAACCAAGAGGATGAGAGACTTGGATGTCTTTTTGTTTTTAATTTTTAAAAAATATTTATTAAATTTTATTTATTCATTCATTTATTTTAATTTGACCAGAGAGAGACAAAGAGAGTGAGAGATAGGGAAAATGAGAAAGCAAGCCACCAGGTCTGAGACTCAAACTGTGGTCAGCCATGTGGGAGTGACCAGCTCCTTAACCACCACGCCACCTGCTGGTCCCTAGACTTGGATTATCTTGACACAATAGATTTTTAAGCAACTGGAGTATTGTGTCACTGGAAAAGTTATGATGTGTTTCTATGCAAAAATGCATCATGACTTTTCTGACAACCCAAAGTTTAGCCCGGAGAAGACAGAGGAATAATCTTTCTCAGTGCCACTCTGACAAAATAAATATAGGGTAGATCCAGCTCAGCATAAGGACTGAGAAGTAAACGGCCCAGCAATGAGTAAGCTCCTGAGGTCCAGAACTAGCGCCACTGAAGGAATTCAAGCAGACGGAACACCTGACGCGGCGTTCAGCGGGCTCGCTGCTGCCGGCAGTGAGGCTGCGTGTGACTGTACAGAGCTGTTGGGCAGCACGGTCTGCTGGGGGTTGTTTTACCCGCCTTTTGACTCCCAGCAATATTAACACTGAAATCCCTTCTGGGGACCAGCAGCAGTTAGCGTAATGGCTATGTCGCTGGACTCCCACGTAGTCGACCAAGGTTCGCGTCCCGGACCCGGTGGCTTAAAACTCACGCCGGGCGCGTGTGCGTGCGTGCCCAAGATCCCGAGAGGAGAATGGAGGAGAAGGGATTGTGGCGTGTCCATCCCCCCTGGGGGGTGATTTCTCGCTTTCTGTCTCTATGTCTCTCTCTGTCTGTCTGGTGAGCGCACGCACCCTATAGCGAAAAGCTCTCAAGAAAAAAAAAAGAAATCGCTTCTGGCCAACCCATCAATCTCTGCATCAATCTAGATTATCACAGCACAGTGTCATTTAAAAAAAAGGAAAAAAAGCCTACTTTCAGGAATTTCCCCCCAAAACAAAACCAGTAAGAGTAAGTACAGTTAGGGGACCGGCAGGTGGCGTGGTGGTTGAGGGCACTGGACTCCCACAAGGCAGACCCCAGTTCAAATTACAGACCTAGCAGCTTGCTTTCTCACTTTATCTCTCTCCCTGTCACTCTGTCCCTCTTTGGTTACATTAAAACAAATTAATTAATTAAATAAAATTTAAAAATAATTCTTAAAAAAGTATAGTTGGCATAGTAGTTACATCACTGGACTCCCACATATCTGACTGCAGTTCAAGGCCTGGGCCAGGCAGCTTGAAACTCACACCAGGCACATGGACACATATGCCCCAGATCCTGAGGAGAAAGGATTGTAGTGTGGCCATCCCTCCTGGCGGGTGATTTCTTGTTTTCTATCTGTTGCTGTGTCTCTCTCTAGTGAGCGCACACACCCTACAGGAAAAATCTCTCATAAGAAAGTTAGTACATTTGTTTTGTTTTTTAAATGCTACCACCAAAAACCATCATCCGAATTCACCTTGATGCCACTGCCCAGGTGAGCTTGCCTCGGGTGGAGAGGTGGGCCACGGAACCTCTGAAGTCCCTTCTACCACAAAGATTCTAGGACTCCTAGCAGACATTGTCGCATAATAAAGGCAAGTACAAGTCACCAGAATCCCCCTCCCATGTACTCCTTGGAGACCTAAGCACAGTCGCCAGGACACAGATCGAACCACCCCAGGAAGTAGCTTTTGAGAGTAAGAGATGAAACCTCACCCTCCTGGCCCCCAGGCATCATAACCACCTCTCTGGGATTCCCAGAACATGACTAAGGTGGCACTCAATCACTTCTGCTCTAATATTTCGCATCTTGCTATTTTCTTTGTGATGAGTGCGTGTACCTGATTTCTCAACTAGACCGTAAACGCCGGCAGAACACCATGGTTATTCTCCCTTTACCTCTCACGTTACCTACACACATCACGTTATGTGCTTTCCCTCACTCTCTCTCTCTGGTCAAATTAAAAAGCAGTAATAGTACCAGAACCAGCAGATGGCATAATGGTTACATCGCTGAACTCCCATGTGGTAGACCACAGTTCAAGTCCTGGACCCAGCGGCTTAAAACTCACACCAGGCATGTATGACTGTGTGCCCAAAATCCCAAGAGGAGACAGGAGGAGAAGAGATTGCAGTGTGGCCATTCCCCCAGGGGCTGATTTCTCACTGTCTGAGGAGCGCACATGGCCTAAAGCAAAATTCTCTCTCAAAAAATAATAAAGAAATAAACAACAACAAAACAGGCAAATGTGTGAGTATACACATGCCCCAAATCCCCAGTGCAGAATGGAGCTTCAGAAGCGACTTCCGTGTGACCACCTCCCCTGGGGGTGCTTTTTCACTTTCTATCCTTCCCCAGGAAGCGCTTGTGCCCTATAGCAAAATTTAAAAACAAAACAAAACAAATCCAAGTTTCCTCTTAAGAAAGACTATATATAAAAAAAAAAAAGCATTGTTTTCAAGTAATAAATTTCACTATAGGGAACTGCAGATGGCTTAATAGCTATGTCACTGAACTCCCATGTACTTGACCGTGTACTCAACCATGGTTCGAGTCCTGGACCAGGTGGCTTAAACTCACACCAGACGCGTGTGCGTGTGTGCCCAAGATCCCGAGAGGAGAATGGAGGAGAAGGGATTGCTGCGTGACCATCCCCCCTGGGGGGTGATTTCTCGCTTTCTGTCTCTCTGTCTCTCTGTGACTTTCTGGCAAGCACAGATGCCCTTATAGCAAAAACCTCTTTAAAAAAAAAATTTCTCTAAGGACATCAAAGCATTTGGAAAAATAATTTCTTTTTTTCTTTTTTTTCCCCAATGTAAGAAGGGCATGCTGGGCCTCAGTCTCCTGAGTAACTGAGACCACATGGCCTGTTCTTTTGTAGGTAAGTCTTGCTATGTTGCCCACGCCAGCCTGGAACTCACAATCCTTGTGCCACAGCCTCCCACGCATCTGAGATTACAGGTGCACGCCACCACACCTGGCAGTAGGCTCGACCAAGAGCTGAGCCTGGCCCTCCCATGCGGGGCAAGCAGTCCCCTGAGACGCAGTGTCTTAGCAGCGTGCACCACCAAAGCTAGGTTACGATTTCCTGCACGTCACTGTATTCACCACCCTTTGTGGAGATAAGATTTACCCAGAAATGAGACTGCTATACACACCAAAATATAAAAGGCCAGAGAACTAAGGCGGAGAGGGTGATTCACCAGCCTGCTTACCAGTCTGGCTGTCTCAAGGCACTCTTTCTCGAGATGTTTCCAGGTTTGCAGTGTCCCTTAGGCTGATCACAAATCCTAAAGGGACCCTCATCATTGCCACTAAATGACTATAGACACCTTCCCAGAAAGGACTTTCACCCAACCCTGGATCTTCGCCCACCTCCTGTAAGACCCTCCTCTGTTATCTTGGTCCAGTGTAAACTCTTTGGGAACAACTTAATACGCACTGTTTCCCTTTCACTAATGTCAGAGATGCTCGTCTTTCCGGCGGGGGTGAAGAGGCCCTTCCCTCTGGCCAGGCTGCTGGCAGGTGTGCCTGCGCGTCCCCGAGCTTCATGCTTCCTTGATGCTAGCTTTGCAAGACCAACAAACTCTTTCTTTCCTAATTACTTTTACTCTACAGTTGTTCTTTTTGGCCTGACGATTTTTTAAAAATCTACTTTTTTAGGGGCCAGCTGGTGAGATAGTGGTTAGGGGCGCTGGACTCCCACATGGCCGATCATGGTTTGAGTCCCAGACCTGGCAGCTTGCTTTCGCACTTTCCCTCTCTCTCTCTCTGGTCAAATTAGAAGGGAAGGGAAGGGAAAGGAAAGGAAGGGAAGGGAAGGGAAAAGAAGGGAAGGGAGAATAAAGTTAAATAAAATAATTCTTTTTTAAAAAATCTACTTTTTTAAAGATAAAAATAAAGGAAAAATATTTTAATATTTGTATATATTTCAACTGTCAGAACACTCATCTACTACTATAGACACACTCTAGTAAGGCAGTATCTAAAGGTAAATTACAAGTTTTCCTTAAATATTAACTGTATTGGGGCCGGCGATGGTTAAGGCAGCGCGACTCACACATGGCTGACTGTAGTTTCAGTCCCGGACCTGGCAGCTTGATTTCTGACTTTCCTTCTCTCTCTCTGTCTCGCTCTGGTCAACTTCAAAAACACAAATAAATAAATAAAAATAATGACAATGAATAAATAATTCTTTTAAAGATATTTTTTAAATGAACTTTTTTTGTTTTGGAGAGGTTTTTGCTATAGGGCGCATGCACTCACCAGAAAGACAGAGAGAGACAGAAAGCGAGAAATCACCTCCCAGGGGGAATGGCCATGCTACAATCCCTTCTCCTCCATTCTCTCGGGATCTTGGGCACACACGCACATGCCCGGTGTGAGTTTAAGCTACCGGGTCCGTGACTTGAACCATGGTCGGCTACAATGGAGTCCAGCGACATAGCCATTATGCTAACTGCTGGTCCCTAAAATGAACTGTTTTAACCTGGCACACTCAAGAACCTAGAAGACCCAATTAACATTTTTTATTTGACAGTATTCTAATAAAATATATGAGAAACAGCCTGGTGGGGGCAGCATTATACAGTTCTTAGGAAAGATCATCTTAGGTTCTTCTTAAGCTGCAGAAATACAATAAGAATTTCAAAAGAAGCATTAAGAAAATAGGAATTTACAAGAAATCATTGGTGATTCTGAGTGATCAAAAACTGGGAATCCTTATCTAAAGAACTTCTACCATTCAACATAACTATACCCAAAGTGAAGAAAACAGCCTCCAATTCCTAGAGAGAGGAGTGATCTGCTACAGGGAAAAACCACAAACACTGGAACACACGGCTTTCTTGAATTATTTTCCAAAACGGTGAGGGCATCGAACATGTTGAAAACGTGTTTACAGTGCAGTCTAGGCAGTACTCAGATGTGAATTTCATAAACACATAAATTTATGGAGGTGGACAAAGAATTCCCACTGATCCAGAAAACTGCTTGCATATTTCATTAACTCAAAGATCCTAAAGGAGGGCAGAGGGGTGGCTAGCCTGGGAAACTACAATTCTTAGGGTACTGGTGAGAAACTAGAAAAGAGGAAACAAAACAAAAAGTATGTAACAGAAGGAAAGCTCCGAAAGGGACAATGAATTCTGTGCAGACACAACAGGATAATGAATTAAGTATAGAAATGCCAGGTGATTTGATGGGTAAAGGTTAGACCTTCATATTTAGGTTGGTGATCAGTGGGTAAAATCAAGGCATTTCAGGCAGTTCTTAAAGAACTCACCTGTTTATGGAAGATGACTCTGTATGCAGGTCAACTGAGACCACACATGCAAGACTTCAAAAGGCTCAGGAAAATGGAATTCAACTACAAGTTCATTTTGCTGCAAAAATCATTTTAATCTCTGCATAGTCTTCTCATAATACACTTTCCATGGGCTTTCTGAAGACCCCTCACATACAAAGCACCGGTAACATTGTAGAGAAAAGAGATTCAAGTTATTGTTTCCATGAATAGGAACTTTAAAATTGCACATTCTTTGGGATGCACTTGATTTCATTCTTAGAACCCACAGATGAGTAAGGCAAGTTACCTGCAATTGCTTTTATGATTTTTGTCCCATCCTTGAAAGCAATTAAGTTTATCATCCACGCCTTGAATGTATCAGATTATAGATCGGGAAAGCGTCAATCTAGCCCTTAATGTATCACAGGAAGGACTGGCGATGCTTTAATCTCGCAGCTAACACTAGGACAGTGACTTCTATACATTAAAGGTATTTTCACAAATTTGCATATAAATGAGCAAACCCAGGTTTTAAAAAAACAGTGCTTCTGTTGTAATTTTTTCAACGGATAGAAAACGAAAAGCTTATAGTGGCTGCTACTCATGGTTTAAAAATCGGAGTCTAACAAACACAATTAAATGTCCTCTTGCGTACAACTCAGTCATATTTTACGTGCGTAAACGTCCGTAGAACCGCCATCCACTCAGCTGTTTTCCTAATATTTATTACTCGCATCCCAAACCAAAACCGAACCTGTCTCCTCCGAGAGCGATCAGCTCTCTCACCTTCTTCAGAAGTAAAATGCGTGAATTTCAAAAGAGGAACCTTGCGCTAGGGGACGGCAATAATGGCAGCTCATGATATCAAGGGTGGAAGAGCCGACCCCGGCCCCCGGCTCTCTTGGTTCTAAGACAAAGCTCAGAACCGCCAACCTCGGCAAACATACAAAGAAGAAATACAAAAGCTTCTCGCGGCGGGGCGGGGGGCGGCCAGCAAAGAGAGGTGGAAAGACGTTACAAACGGATGACACGCAGGAGAGGCCCGCCACCAGGCCAGCTCGCTGGGGCTCCGGGAGGGGTCCCCGGGCCCGCAGAGGGTCGTTGGGGGCCCGGCTCAAAGCGACAACCTCCCGCCTCCTTCCCGAACCTCAGGAACCGAAGGTAGGGATGGGGACACACGCACACACACGCCCGCCCAGGGGCAGTCATCCACCTCTCCCCGAATGGCGCAGGCACGTCTCAGGGGACAGGAGGTGGCGG